CTGTAGAATCCATAATTTCAAACAGTTCCAAGATTGGGCTACTAGTTCAAAAGTTACAGCCCTTTGAATTTTCTTTCGAAATTGCTTTCTAGTCTATAACTTTTGATTGAGAAGTCTGATCGAAAAAGTACGAATTGTTTTGGATTCTACGCACCAAAATTAATCAGAAAAAGTGTTTTCCCGAGAAATTTTGGTGCAGTCGATTTTTGGTAAAAAAGGAAGGTTATACACTGCCTTTTTTTTGCCTCGAAAAAAAAAATTGTCTGAGATAGTCCTGGGAAAAAATTTTTCTTATAGAACGTGGCCTGTAGAATCCATAATTTCAAACAGTTCCAAGATTGGGCTACTAGATCAAAAATTACAGCCCTTTGAATTTTCTTTCGAAATTGGTTTCTAGTCTATAACTTTTGATTGAGAAGTCTGATCGAAAAAGTACGAATTGTTTTGGACTCTACGCACCAAAATTAATAAGAAAAAGTGTTTTCCCGAGAAATTTTGGTGCAGTCGATTTTTGGTAAAAAAGGAAGGTAATAACTGCCTTTTTTTGGCTCGAAAAAAAAAATTGTCTCAGATCGGCCCGAAAAAAAATTTTCTTATAGAATGGGGCCTGTAGAATCCATAATTTCAAACAGTTCCAAGATTGGGCTACTAGTTCAAAAGTTACAGCCCTTTGAATTTTCTTTCGAAATTGTTTTCTAGTCTATAACTTTTGATTGAGAAGTCTGATCGAAAAAGTACGAATTGTTTTGGATTCTACGCACCAAAATTAATAAGAAAAAGTGTTTTCCCCAGAAATTTTGGTGTAGTCGATTTTTGGTAAAAAAGGAAGGTTATACACTGCCTTTTTTTGAGCCCCGAAAAAAAAATTGTCTCAGAACGACCCGGAAAAAAATTTTCTTATAGAATGTGGCCTGTAGAATCCATAATTTCAAACAGTTCCAAGATTGGGCTACTAGTTCAAAAGTTACAGCACTTTGAATTTTCTTTCGAAATTGGTTTCTAGTCTATAACTTTTTATTGAGAAGTCTGATCGAAAAAGTACGAATTGTTTTGGATTCTACGCACCAAAATTAATAAGAAAAAGTGTTTCCCGAGAAATTTTGGTGCAGTCGATTTTTGGTAAAAAAGGAAGGTTATACACTGCCTTTTTTTGAGCCTCGAAAAAAAAATTGTCTCAGATCGACCCGGAAAAAAAATTTTCTTATAGAATGTGGCCTGTAGAATCCATAATTTCAACAGTTCCAAGATTGGGCTACTAGTTCAAAAGTTACAGCCCTTTGAATTTTCTTTCGAAATTGGTTTCTAGTCGATAACTTTTGATTGAGAAGTCTGATCGAAAAAGTACGAATTGTTTTGGATTCTACGCACCAAAATTAATAAGAAAAAGTGTTTTCCTGAGAAATTTTGGTGTAGTCGATTTTTGGTAAAAAAGGAAGGTTATACACTGCCTTTTTTTGAGCCCCGAAAAAAAAATTGTCCCAGATCGACCCGGAAAAAAATTTTCTTATAGAATGTGGCCTGTAGAATCCATAATTTCAAACAGTTCCAAGATTGGGCTACTAGTTCAAAAGTTACAGCCCTCTGAATTTTTCTTCGAAATTGGTTTCTAGTCTATAACTTTTGATTGAGAAGTCTGATCGAAAAAGTACGAATTGTTTTGGATTCTACGCACCAAAATTAATAAGAAAAATTGTTTTCCCGAGAAATTTTGGTGCAGTCGATTTTTGGTAAAAAAGGAAGGTTATACACTGCCTTTTTTTGAGCCCCGAAAAAAATTGTCTCAGATCGACCCGGAAAAAAAATTTTCTTATAGAATGTGGCCTGTAGAATCCATAATTTCAAACAGTTCCAAGATTGGGCTACTAGTTCAAAAGTTACGGCCCTTTGAATTTTCTTTCGAAATTTGTTTCTTTTCTAGTCTATAACTTTTTATTGAGAAGTCTGATCGAAAAAGTACGAATTGTTTTGGATTCTACGCACCAAAATTAATAAGAAAAAGTGTTTTCCCCAAAAATTTTGGTGCAGTCGATTTTTGGAAAAAAGGAAGGTTATACACTGCCTTTTTTTTGCCCCGAAAAAAAATTGTCTCAGATCGACCCGAAAAAAAATTGGAGTGCGAGTGAGCAGGCAGACGGTTTTGAAGGAGAATTCAACGCTTGGAGGTCTAAGGGGTATGGAAAACCGCCCGATAAAAGGAAAATTCAATGATCCTTTCCCGACAATCATCATTAGCACCATGGATCCATCCGTATACTCATATCAATAAACTCCTTGTATACTGGGGGGTATTCCATACCCCCCAGACCCCCCGGTGATACGTTTGATGGCGTTTCCGAGGACGTTTCACCGAAGACTGGAATGAGAGTGAGCAGGCAGACGGTTTTGAGGGAGAAAACAACACTGGGGGGTCTGAGGAGTGGGGAAAAACGCCCGGTAAAAGGAAAATTCAATTACCCTTTCCCGACAATCATCATTAGCACCATGGAACCATCCGTGTGCACATATAAATACACTCCTTGTATACTGGGGGGTATTCCATAACCCCCCAGACCCACCGGTAGTAAGTTTGGTGGCGTTTCCGAAGGCGTTTCACCGAAGACTTGAATGAGAGTGAGCAGGCAGACGGTTTTGAAGCAGAATCCAACGCCTGGGGGTCTGGGGGGTCACGAAAACCGCCCAGTAAAAGGAAAATTCAATGACCCTTTCCCGACAATCATCATTACCACCATGGGACCATCCGTATACTCACAAATAGAAGAAATGCTTTGTACTTCCAGTTAGTATTAGGCTGTCTACCGACGCGTTATTAGCAGCAACCTCTCATAATCTCCTATAGCAATTATAATGATATTATTCCCTGTGCATCCATTTCGCATGTTTATTGTTAAAATAATGGATTTTCAACAAGAACTGGGAAAACGATATATGGAAGTACAGAGGCTTTTTTGTTGAACGCTTTGCTTTGCTTTATCGCATCCATCCATAGAACTAATTCTCACATAAAAATCTTTTTCGTTCTTCTTTGACCAACTTGAAATGAAAAATTTGTCATTTTTTAAGTGTAGCGTAGGATTGCAATATGGCATCTCTCTATTTCGCTACTGATCCATAGTCACTCAGAAGAGCGCTTTGCAATGACAGTCGAGATATGGAAAATTTCACTTCTCTCGAGGTTCTACAATTAATTTACTTAATCACTCATAATTATCGTCATCGAATGGGGCTGAGATTTGGCAACCTCACAGCAACGTACGCAATATTTGATTTTCAATATTAATAGCAGCAATAAAAATTCGCTGAAGAAAGAAAGCAACAAGAATTAAGACACCGCAATGCCTCAAAAGACTAAGCGTCAGAGAGAATTTGGACAGCAACCAGTAGGAGCTGATAAAATTTTTGCTGAAAAAGAATTCAGCAAAAAATTCTCGAAACGTGCAGTCGATTTGTGATTTCGATACTTCTTGCCGAAAAAAGGATTTCAGCAACACTATCGATTTTTCAGACGCCACTACCATAAATGAGTCCTGAGAGCACGCAAGATCTCTTTCTGCTCTAATTACATTTAAACGCACATCTACAAAGAAAGGCCGGGCATCGCTCCAAGACTAATGGATGATTACAACGTTACAATAAACAGAACAAGCACAATGAGAAATAATTTATCTAATACTCGCTTACGGCATGGTCCAATTTGCAACAGTCATCGCGAAGTCAAAGTCGGTTTCACTTCATCAAATCGCTAATTAATTAATTAGTTATCAAGGCGATGATAATTTCGGTTACGTACGCGAAAATTTGCGCATGCTTCG